ATTGTCAAATAAATATCAGTGAAACTTAATTTCTTGCCTTAAAAATGTAAGTCAGGTGAAGAAATGAAATCATGTTGAAATCAACTGAAATTGCACAAATTAGTGCATTTTTAAACATCAGCTGTCTGTGAAATATTGTTTGGAAAAAACCGTTGGATGAAGATAAAACTAAGTTTCTTCTTAGTTGGTACTCGTTAGCTAGCTGTATCTAAATTCCTGTGAATGATATGATCAGTATAAACATTTGTAATTTGTCCTTATTGATTCCTTCAGTTGTACCTTTTTTTATCAGTTCAGTCCCATTTTGAGATGATAATATTTGTATTTTATTATAGTTTCTATTTTTTGTGTGCCTTTACTGAGTTTCTATGTTTCTTCCTGAACTGAATTGATGTTGTTTTAGTTGATACTTAGTCATGGCGACAGCGATATTGATTTGTTCCTCTTTTGATTGTGTCGGTTGCTTGCATTGACTGGAACTGAGCATTTCGATTGTGAATCGGAACACTCTTCCAGAATTGGAAACACTGTGTTATAAAACAACAAAATATTATCTCTCAAATGAATCTGATCTATCCAGGAGGGATAGAATAACATTTATTTGTAGCTGTTGTGGATTTGATTAATTGAACAATTGTTGGTAAAATAACTGAGTGGTAATATTTGTTTACGTAATGATGTATATTTATATTTATGATGAATATTAGAACCGCCATTTACACAAATCACTTGTTTTGTTTTTGAACTGGGTGACAGCGCTTATCTAAACTACCTAGACAGCTATTCCTCAATCCAAACCTTAGTTTGGATCCTACAGGTCGCCCAATACCTTGTATTCATTAAAGTTAGACATTAACATCGTTAGATGCCATTCTCAGCGGTCCAGAGTTTGCACATTGGCGCGCGAGACCCGAGGTCCTTGGTTCGAATCCCTCCTGAGGTGTCGTAGATGCGCACTGCTGGTTAGTTAGTCTTATACTAGCGCTCAACGACGACCTTCCAGTGCATCCGGCTCTCTCTGATAGTCAATGACACCGTCATTAAGAAATTCAAGTGATAGCAAGTTTGTATTTCTCATTAGAAAGAAATAAGTGGTTTATTTTATACTAATGGTTTATTGAACAGTATTCGTCAGGGAACCCCTAAACATAATCGATCGAATTCACTCGGCATCAATTAACAGACGACAACACAAGCATCGATTATTAGTAATCAATGAGCATGGAGTTTAAATGATACAATTTTGTTGTAGGTTAGGACAAATAATTAAATGCAAAACGATACAGATTCAATTATTTTTTTATTCGTTTGACAGATTCTCATCGTCATACTGATGAATTGTTTTAATGTATCATTTAAATACTGGAGACTACATTAACAAAAAAAAAACCCATGACTATTGAACACAAATTGAACACAATATTTTGTCTGATATTTGGAATAAATCATATAAAATGGCGATGTAAGTTTTTGATGATTATTTATTTAATCAATAGATTCCTGTATACAATAAATGAATGCTTAAATGTCATAATTTCAAAAGTAATTAGGAGTGAAATGTATCAAAGATAGGAAGAGGGAGAGCGAGAAATTATGCTCTATAAATTAACGCTCAATGGGCAAGAGGGAATTAGTTTTACGTTGGTTTTCAGGAGAACTAGAAGACACTGTCCCTATGTGTTAACACTACAACGTGAACAGTACAGCTCAATCCTGATGTGCCCTCGTGGATCATTCAATGAAATCTCATTCATTCAGTCTCAATGAAAATGGCCCCACAGGAATGATACAAAACGATCACTAGTATCAATCAGATTGGTCAGCCTGCAAACCAAATTTGAATATGTACTATCAGCGTAACTTGTCAAAGCAATGCCAAACCACCGACAATGTTCACAACGAAACCTCTAGTCTCATAGGAAACCTTCCGCTCTATATAGTGATATAGCTTATGGTATATACATCGTATGAAATGGGGTAATAGTAAGAGGTGCAGCCCAGATTGATGTAATAGCGAAATTTTCATTTTTCCAACTATATGAGACCTGAATTAAGGGTAGAATACCTACGGGAGATAAATAAAGAAACGTGATAAAATATCTGGTCTTGCCTCTCATCTTCAAATTAACTCATACTAATAATTACTATCTTATTAGTTAAAGTGTAATCTTTTGATCATTACTTGAGATGACGGAGAAAATTTGTAGCTCAGGTGGATGATTGTGGTGGTGTTTCGCTCTCTGAGTTGGATGGATGTTTTGGTACTGAAGCTTTCATTGTTCTTCTTCTGAACAACAACATCATCAGCACAAACTTTTGTACTTCATAACCGAAACATTCAGCTCAGAGAACAAAACACTACCACGATCATTACTTGTTTATTATTAGCCCTCACATGGAACCTGTCAAGGCAAAAGGGAAAGAGGAAGGCATACATTACGCCAAGAAATAGAGAAAGATATGAGAGGAACGAACAAACATTGGACAGAACTGGAGAGGG